CTTTATTCATAATATTTTAATATTAGAAATTCAGAAATTGATAATCCATAATTAAAATATAAAAAAGTTCCATTTACGTATGTAAATAAAAGAAGTTCAATTTACCAGAAATATATATTATATTATGTGTGAGTGTATAATATATATATATATATATTATTATGTATATATCTACTAATATAGAAGGTTAAGATTGTCCAGAATTTTATGGAAAAAAAAAAGAGTACAAGTGTGGACGAGTATGTATGGGTGCAGGTGAAACTCGAAAGTTACCCGCAACCCGACACATGAAAATATTTCAAACTGCATCCGATCTTACTACATGTTCGAAACCACCCGCACATACGTGAATTGAATCAGATTGGGCAATTTTCATAGATCGGATGCCCCTCTGCTTAGTCCTACCAACACCTACTTTATGTTTAAAGCTTGAAATTCACTCTATTTATACAATTTATATCTAGTCTACTTAAGAGTATCGGAAAAGAGAATTGCTAAACAATATAAATAAAAATAAACCAGCAAAAAGTGATAAGTGATACAAATATATGAACCCTTAAAGCATTTCACATCTAACCTGATCTTTGACAAGATTTGAACCCACAACTACTATGTTTGGTAAATGAGCATGTAGAGCACGCTTAATGCAAGACGGGCATGTATGCTAGTTTATTGGCATGATATTTTCTGTCTCTAAATCATTTTGTTTCTTTTCAAAAGATTCATAACCATTGGATCAAGTCTGGACACTATTATATTTTGAAATTTTCACATGACTCAACGGTTGTGAATATTTTAATATAAGAAAATAGAAGATTTTTTTACCTGTAACGCCACTACTTGATAGTTGTGGATGTTCTATCCCAAAAATCTAATGTTCTTCTATCTCAATTATTCACAATCATTTGATTATGCATCAAGGTTTTTGTATTTCGAGTTTCCTACATGATAGTAAATTGAGATTGGGGAACAAAAAGATTTTGGGAGAAAGAATCCCTGACCCCAATCAAGAAAAACAATAATGTGCGGTTTAAATTCAATTCTTGAATTGTGGAACCTAAAATTAAAAATAAATGTATATCATATATTTTCTTAATATCATGTATTTGTGTGCTTGTCTCATGATATATTTTATAATTTGTTCACTATTTTTTAATTTATTTTTAAGATCATGTATTTATTAAATAAATCTATTGCTATTCGTTAGACATACAATCAACATGAAATTTTTACAAAATAAAATAATTTCTGATTGTGTGGATTTAACCACCACAAAATGACCAAACTTTTATTTTTATTTTTAAATTGTTTTGGCAAGTTTTGATTTGATTTTTATGCTATGTTTGGTTGAGAGATTTGAAAAATGATTTGAAAAGGAAAAATGAAAATATAGGTAAAATGTGAATAAAATATACTTACATTTCATCTAATTTTACATACATTTTCCTTTTTTTTTTTCTAAATTTCTTGTCAAATTTTCTAACCAAATATAATGTGACGGTATGCTAGGACTTCTTAGTCACAGAGACTTGTACTTTGCAAAAAAATAAATAAATAAATAAAAACAAAAATTCAGGCGGTCATAAAAACATTGCTATCAATATAAAAAATGTGTGCATTAATTAGCACATTAATTTTATTTGATTTGTTTGATTCCTAGAAGCATTTTGTTTACTAAAAATAAAAATCTAATCACATTCTCTTTTTGACTATTTCAGAAAATCATTTTGTATTGTTTTATATATACCAGAAATTTATTCCTCATAAATCACATCCACAATTCCTTTTGAAATTGTTCATTACATAAAGATGCATGAATGACTATGCAATTATTTTTATATTGGTACCTAATAAAGAAAAAGAAAATTCATAATCAATCAAATAATTTGGGAATTTTACAAGAAAATTAAAAAAAAAAAAAAAGGGAATTATGCATTACATAAAGCTTCGTCCATGACCATGCAATTATCTTTATATTACCTATAAAAAAGAAAATTCATAATCAATCAAATAATTTGAGAATTTTATTTAGGGAGAACTGCTATATATCATATGTGTTTTTCAACGTTTATATCACCAACGTTTGTGGCAAGATATCATTTGTTGTCATTAATTCGTTTACAATTATCTTTAAACATTTGGTAGTATTACATATACCAATTAATATATTAATTAGTATACTAACATATGTTATGACATTATTATTGATTTTATCCGTTATATAAATTATAAATACCCAAAACCTCTAAAATTATGTCATATCATCTGTTAGTACACTAATTTGTATATCAATTGGTGCATATAGCATTCTTCTCAAACACAGGAACCAATTATGATACTGTTTGATACAAATTATTTTCTGAAAATTTATGTCAAACTGTTTGGTACAACTTATAATTTATTCAGCAAAAATAATTTAAATAAGCTAAAAAGATTGGGCTTCTCTCACGCTTGTGTAGAACTTGAGGAGCCTGTGAAGCACACCAGCGTGTCGAAGGGGTTGTGAAGACACGGTTGGGTACTCTCAAGGTCACCTACCCAATCCCAATTACAAGCTGGTCTGCACGGGAACCACCAATCACTGAGGTGGCCTGTTGTGGCTGGGCTGCTTCATGGCATGCCTTGGGCTGTCTTGCACTATGCCTTGAGCCTTGGCTTGCACTTGCACCAACAACTTCTTTAAACATGTTTTTAGCTCTCCAAAGAGCACAAATAAGTGTGACGTCAATGTGTTGACTCTTGGATAAACGCACCTTGACACAAGGCCAAGGGGATACTTCCAAGTCTATTGCTTTCAAATGAAAGCTTTGACTTGAAGAAACAAAAAGACCCAAGAACACAATACTATACTATGTACAATAATGGTGAAAATGTATAATATATATTTGACTGTATTGTTTATTCATTCATTATTTTATCATGGATTTTTTTTCCATAGAGAAGTAAATAAAATTGAACCCCACGTAAAAGGAATACAACACTTCTAACACTGTAATCTGTGAATTTGTACAAATAGAATTCTGCGTAAATATTGCTTTCCTGGTTTATTAATGTCATTTTTGTATTTCATAATGCTTTTCCCCCCCTTGATCTCTTCTTTACTTGGTATGTGGTCAAGATTTATTCTCATTCATCCATACACCAAAAAAATCTGATATTGATTTTTGTGTATAAATGTGGGCCAACTTTTGGTAATGATTAAACGAGAGGAATTTGTTACAAAAATAAAAAATAGAATACTAGACCAAACTATTGATGGATCAAAAGGTGAGGGAACCATTAACATTTGAACCATAGCTTTAGGGTGTGGCTTCATAATCACAAGTTCACCATTTTTTCAGTTGGAGAAGGTAAAAGGATGGATAATAATCATGATTAACAATAATCATTGATTTATGTACTGATTTGACTCAGAATTAAGATAATGCGATAAGTGGAAACCAAAAGATGCCATCGCAACTAAAGTGTCCAGGCTTAATTATTGTTATCCAGACAATTAACCATGATAATTTTTTTATTAAACCATACGAAAATTCTTTGTGATTATCAGAAGTGCCGGGTACATCAATGTTTTTTTTACTACTTCCATTATATCACTTTATGTCTCCTCATTTAACATAATAGCCTTTAAATCAATGGCACAAACAATAGTTGAACTACTAAATATGGATATAAATATGGATTCTTATATAGCAGGCATCACTGTTTGTTTCCATGATGTTTTTGTGAGGGTGACAACCACTTAATGTCCCATTGAGATATTTATAAATGAAGGGCCCTACTACCGTTCAATGAGCATTCAAATTAAATAAAGTTTAAAAAAAAATTAATAAAATTCTTACACATGCCAATATTAATCACAGCATATCCTATAAATTAAAACCTGTTACATATTATAATAGAAGCAACTTGCCCTAATCCTTATTTTCTCTAAACCAAAAGTCATTGTCAATAACAAATCACTGTCATTACCCATAATAAATTGCAACTACAGTTATCAATAAGTCAATGATAAGTTTTTGGAACCTCAAGCTCCCTCTTTCAAATGCTATGATATTGTGAATCTAGCATAGTAGCAGACCTTGTTTATCCTTCTTTTTGTTATCAACTTTGGTAGAAGACTTGGAGGTTGTTTGCTAATCTAATCCCATCACATACATAAATTGAAAATTTGTCAAGGAATCTTCTATGAAGTATACATTTGATAGTGCACATCACCTAACAGTTGAAACTCAAATTAAAAAGTCATAATTTAGATTAGATTAATTAGCTAACTATTGAATCTTGAGTATGCTCCATTGAAGGTGATTTTTTTGAAAAAAAAAATGAAATATTTAGTGTAAAGTCTATCTACATGAACTTATACAATGAAGTCCTTGCATAACGGCTGATGTCACACACGGAAAATTGTTTGGAAGCTTAATCATTTTTTTTAATGGTCGTGATGGTTTTACCTTTAAATTTAAATTTTAATCAAAAGAATTAAGGGGCAAGAAAGGATAGACAAACCTGTCTAACTACATCCTGCACAACAGAAAGAGCAAAACCCACTAGAGAAAAAAAAAACAAAAACACAAAACACAAAACAAAACAAAACAAAAAAATAAATATAATTGAAGAACATTAAAAAAAACACACACAAAAAGGTGAAATCTAACTTCTCTATATCATGTAATTAATCCTTAACAAATTGCAAGTCTCCAGAAAGGCCTTTCAGGAGGCAGTCAAGCAAAAGTCTCTGATGGGATTTTGGGAACAGAAATTAGAATTGGACTGTTACTACTTAAAAAGAAAGAAGGTTGTTAGGAAACCATATCCAGCTCTAGAGACTGACAAATACTAGGAAACCAAGGGTAAGGTTGTAAATCCTTACCCATTTCCTTTTCTTTTCTTTTTTTCTTTCTTTTTTTTCATTTTTTTGTTTCTTTCTATCTAATGTTTTCCTCTTCTAAAGCTAAGTCTAACTAGTGCAAGTCCACAAACATCACACAAATGCCATAAATATCAACATCACCAAATTCAAATTCATATTGAAATATCTAATAGTAATCAACACTTCAAAATTTCAATTCGTGTTCATATCACCTTGTGAAGTACATTGATCATCCATAACATTGAACCGAAATGCTACATTAAGTTGAAAAAGCATAAATAAATCTTGTGATACCTTTTCATTTGATGGCATTGACAACCCCACTATTGAGAAGCCGCTCCACATACTTGCCAAAAATGTCTACCTCCAAGTTCACCTTCTGCCCAACTTTCTTCAATGGAATCACCACATTCTGCCGAGTGTAAGCCACTAACATGAAATTAAAACACTCCTCTTCATCAAACACCTTCACGACAGTCAAACTAGTCCCATCCACAGCTATGAACCCTTTTGGCACAATATACTTCAACAACTCCGGTGTTGTCTTCACCTTCACCCACAACGAATCGCCTTCCGGCTCGGTGGACACAATTTCACCTGTCCCATCAACATGGCCTTGAACGAAATGCCCTCCCATTCGGGTTGATGGTTTCAATGCTCTCTCCAAATTGACCAATGAGCCCATTTGGAGCTCAATTAGCGAAGTTTTTCTGAGTGTTTCAGGCGATAATCCGACAGTGAATTCAAATAATTGAGTGTCGAAATGGGTGACTGTAAGACAGGTACCATTGATGGAGATGCTATCACCGAGGTTGACGTCTTCAAGGACAGTCTTCGCATGGATTGTCATGGTGAATCCGCCGTCATCGTCGGAACCCAGCTGCTTGACCTCGCCTATTTCTTCCACAATGCCAGTAAAGAGGGAACGAATCGGACTGTGGTGGGACTTGAATTGGGATTTGGATTTGGGGTTGCCAATGCGGAAGAGGAGCCGGAGAGGTGGAGGTTTGAGATTGAGGGTGTAGCGGAGGTGGGAATTGGGAGGAGTTTTAAGGAGGTTGAAGACTCTAGCTTTTGGAAGGGAGGGCTTTAGGGATTTGGAAAATGAAGTGGGCGTGGAAGAGATGGCCATATTCATTTACTTAGTTGGAAATTTTCAGATTCCTCGAGTGGGAAAGTTATTGTGACTAGATTTGAGAATCAAATGATAAAAAAAATTGGAAAATAAAGAAGATCAGCAGTCCTACAAAAGCTCCTTTTAGGCCATTTAGTAGTTTGAAGTTTGGCTCAAAGTTGATCATTCGGCGTCCAATGGGATATTGAAATGGTGCCTGCTACATATATAATACATATGCAAATGTGAGTTCATATTTTTCTTTTCTACATTCCTCATCTCATCCAATTTTTGAACTTAAAATCCTTAATACTCGTTTCAAACAAGCAGCTTCAAAGACATGACGGCATACAACAAAATATTTATTAAAAAGACATTTTGTTAATATCTGATCCGATAGGGAATGACTCTACGACTCATGGATTGTGCAACTTTTTTAAACCAAAAAATCATTGGTTTAATTCAAGTAGCACCCAAATTGTGACATGTTGAAGACACTGATAAGTTTGTAGGGTATTTCTTACTAAGAGCTTTGGCCATTCAAAAATCCATAGAAAACCTTCCATCCTGTTCTGTGGCGAAAACGAAAGCATAGGCTTTAAGCATCACTAATTGGAAGAGAACATACAACAATATATCAGATTCCTAATTTTTTGACATCAACTGATATAGTTGATGTGCAGCCAAATACATTTTTGGTATGGGTTGTTGGCTTTTTGGCTAATTTAGTAACTTTTTGGCTAATTGGCTAAAATAGCCTCTTGCCAAACGAGGCCTAAGAGCTTTGGCCATTCAAAAATCCATAGAAAACCTTCCATCCTGTTCTGTGGCGAAAACGAAAGCATAGGCTTTAAGCATCACTAATTGGAAGAGAACATACAACAATATATCAGATTCCTAATTTTTTGACATCAACTGATATAGTTGATGTGTAGCCAAATACAAAGTGTTGAAACACTATTAACAAAATATCATCAAACTTCCAAGATCTGGAACGCAAATGTGATTGAACTTCTGAAATCTGGAATTCGAATGGAATCTAACTTCAAAATTTATAAAGTTGATTAATCTTTTAAGCCTATTGAACTGATGAGGAATCAAATTCCCAATTCTGTCTAGTCTACAACTCTGAATCTACATTGAAACATTTAGAACCCTCGAATTCCTAAACTCCATAAGGTGAATCATTAAAACCACAAGAACAAGAACATGAATACACTCAAACCAAACAAAATGAGCTAAAAACGAAACAAAATTGATGTGTTTTGAAGATTGAGAGACCAAAAATTAATTTTTTGGAATTGAAAGAGCAATTTGAGATTTGCGAACTGACCTTCATTTTGTGAAGAATTTATTTTCTGATCGTGTTGTCCTTCGTTGCACCAACAAGAGAGAGAGAGAGACTGCGTATACAGATGATCTGGAGTCCAGATCGTCTCCTTGACTTCTCTCTGGTGCTCCTTACGAGGGACGGCCCAAATTGTGCTATGTCCCCGACTTAAAAATGAACGGCTGAGATCTGCTTCATTTAAAATCCCCTCTCTCTACTTTCGTCTCTCTCTCTTCCACTGCTTTCTGCTCTCTTTTTTCTCTCTTATTTTACAAGATATGGGTATATATTTATATATATATATATATATATGTATGTGTGTTTAAAATTGTATGTTTGTTGTGTTATGGGTTTGGATTGTGATTTGTGTTTGGTTATTTCCACTTCCCTCTTTTTGGAATTTTTTTAGTTATTTTTTGGTCGACCCTCTCTTTGGATTTCAATGCCACTGATTGTAGATTTGTTCTTCTTCTTTTTTTCCCTAAAAAAGTTGAATGGATCTAGATGAGAATATTTTGGTATTTTTGATGGATTAATGATTACTTTTGTTGGGTTAATTCACATAAATCCTTTTGAACTCTTGATATTTTTTAGTTGGGTTATGATTTTCGGTCTTAGTTTTTTTTGAATGCTGAGTTCAATCTTTTGTATTGACTATTTTGATACTCCAATTCAGTTTTAGAATCTTTTTTTTTTTTAAAATGGAGTAGATTCCAGTCGCTCATTTTTGAGCGAGAGACGTGGCCCAATTTAAATCGTCCTTCATAAGGAGCACCGGAGGGAAGTCAAGTAGAAGATCCAAACTCAATGAGATGAGGTTTTAGAGATCTGGAAAGTATGATTTGTATTAGATGATTGAACAACATAAAAAGGCATAATAAATAATGATTTCAGAAAGTAGCTAATAATTTTCCGAAAGTACGTGTTCTTGGGTCTAGTGCAGGATAGTATATGTGTGTAGCCAAACATGACTATTGCATTCAGTTCCCGTGCCAGACAACTAACAAGTTGTAGGGGTGGGCGTGGATCAGTTGCGGCCACGGAACCTCCAATCAGCCATCCGTCCAATGAATTGGCAGATTGGAAAAAATAATCCGCATCCATCAGCCAATCCGGAAGATGTAGATTGACGGATTGGCAGGTGGATGCGAATCGGTTTGGCGGTTTAAAATTTTACAAATTTTCAATATAATTCAATATGTGCACTTCTTCACACAAAAAAAAAAAACCCACCAACATGTGTTTGCACTTCCTTCCTCAACCACCACCTCTGTGCAATGGGCAAACATATACGACAAACAGAAAACAACAAACAAACAATAAAGTATTTTTCTGAACAAAAGCAATACCAGTTATTTCCATAGGAATCCAATCACAAACAGATGTAGTCAATACTGAACAATCATACATATTTTTTTTGAACAAATGCAATACCAGTTCTTTCCATAGCAATCCAATCACAAACAGATGCAGAAAAAACACAAATTTTCAGCAACTGGCTTGCATTCGTGCTTCAATCCTCTCCTCATACTCCTATCTCTCTCTCCTCTCTTTCTCATTCTCTTCTCTATACATATTATGTATATGTAACATTAATCACTCTCATCACTTGGACCTCACTGGAGTCTCTATCTCATTTTATATATTCTATTGCATATATATAAATATATTGATATGTGTGTGTGTGTATTATGAGTTTTAGACAAAACCCACCTCAATTTCCAGGTGTATTTGGACACACTTTTCTTCCCTACAAAAGGTTGGACCAGCTGTTATAGATGTTCAAAACTCATTTATATATATCTAATACAAACAACATGTTTGTGTCATCTTAATCAGAAGATTTTGCATCATGTTGATATACCAAATGAAGAACATAGTGATAAGAAAATGAGCATATCTGTATTTCTACATGATTAATTTAAGCCGAAGCCCTAATTACTGGGAAAAAAAAAAAAAACACAGAACACAGAACACACTCACAGAAAAGGTTGAGAAGAGAAGATCCATCAAAGAGAAGAAGAGAAGAGAAGAAAACCTTCGAATCGATGCTTCGATCGCTGCTCGCCGCCACTGTCACCGATCGCCTATCGTCGCTAGCCACCACTGTCGCCGATCGCCGCTCGTCGCTCGCGAGAGAGAGAGAGACAGTGTTGTCGAAGAACTAGGGCTACAAATCTGAAATGAAAAAAAGGGAAGGGCAGCAATACAGGGGAAAATGGGGGAAAGTAAATGCGGGCGGGCGGGTCGAGTGCGCCAATGGAATTGGCGGTTTACCCGTAACCCGACCCGAATTGGTTGTAGCCAAACAAATTCAGTGTTTAAGGGTGCACAAGCCCATGTAATGTAACTCGAAAAAATAAACGAAGCTCAAATTAAAATTCATTTTAGATCTGAAAAAGTAAATAAATATAACTTAAATATATTTTAAAAATTATTAAATTGCAAATCAAATATGAATTTAATAAACATTCTATAGCCTTGTCATCTAAAAAATATTATGTGTAATGTAATACTAATTTGTATGTTATCATCTGTCAATAAAAATTATAAATGAAATTAATTAGTTATCAATAATGAATTAATGATATTATTATGTGATATCAATAATACACAATGTCTTCACAATGTAATACTAATTTTTGATTTATTACTTAATAATACAAATTTTTGATATCACATGATTAATCAAAAATATTAAGGCTTGGTTTGGCATAATCAAAAAAAGTCATAAAGTCAAAAAGTCACTATCCTATTTAAGTCATATCATCTTATTTAAGTCACATCACATTTCTATTACATCAGTTCAAACCCAACCCATACCCAACCCATATTTCATGAAAAGACAAAAAGTACACTTATTTAGGACACCCCAAACAACCCCTAAAATATAATGACATACCATAAAAAAATATTTGAACCTGCAAAGTGGGATTAACTTTTGTACTGTCTTCACAACGCCTTCCCATTATGCCCTATAATTTAGGTCAAGTTTGACTAATCTAAAAAAGTGCACTTATTTCATCTTTTTATCTTTTTTGGGTCACATCAATCAACATCTCCTCTCTACTTTTTCTACACATAATACAAAAAAGTCAAAAAATACACTTATTTAGTCTTCCTAAACTTGGCCTTATTTGAGTTGACCCCAAAGTTAAGTGGATTATTTCATCCAAGGTAAAAGAAATAACCCAAACCCAATTGGGTCTAACAAAATTATGTCATTGAAAATTTATTTGTTGGTTCGGGACCCTATGTAATCATAGTCTCATTAGATTGTGTAAAATATTATTTACTTCGTCAATATTACATTAATTCGTATCAATGCATACTGTTTAATCTACTACAAACGTATTAAACTTTAAAATTTATAATTTGTTTTTGAAATCATTTCACTCCGTTATAATTAATATATATATATATATATATATTTTAACCTTTGATGAAATATCAAACTAAAAATGAATGTTAGAGAAATTTCTTGGTTTGGTAAACATATTGGGACTAAATAAGTACATAAGGACAAAAAAAAAGACACAAAATGACAAGCACACTTAACTTTTGATCACTGCTGGAAATTTTACATTTAAGAGAAGAAGAAAAGATTAGAAGATATTGCAGCAATTATAGGCATACACCACATACCAGACAAACGACATACATGAAGGCAATAATAGCACAAAGGAATAAAAGGATAATGAGATGCATAAAATGATACATGCACAGCTATGGCCCACCAATGCATTGGCTGATGGCTGATCAAATGATCTACTCATAAATACAAACACCAAGCAAGAAACAAAGGTAAATGGATACATGCAAACCAGATACAAAATAGAATGGGGAATTGCAAGACAGGAACAACAACCATGATATCACAAATGTGTGGTCTCTCTTTTTCTATTAAGAGAAGGAAGCAGTATGAGAAATTGCCTACCAAAGTGTGTAATTCTCATAGAAAACCATGCGTGGACCAACTCAGGTTAATTGCTCATACAATGATTTTCGTTCTATAGCAAGTAGTAAAACAAAATTTTCAGTTCTATGTTATCATTTGATGGTAAATGGAATCGCTTATCATCAAGCAGAACAACTTTTGGAGACAATCTAAATTAGAAAATCGTTTCATGTCCCTACTAACCATGTTCATCCACATGGTCATCACTTGGAAATAAAGCAATCATTTGACACTAGCTGGAGAAGATGAGCATCTCACTTAAGATCCCTCTATTTTTCATTTAACTTATTCCATCCACAAGGGCAACAATCAGAAAATAAATTGCAAAACATGCAGATCTGCAGTTTTCAAAGAACAACAAAACAAGCGCTGGAACAACCGTGAGGAAAAAATAAAATAAGCAAGCAACTTTATCAACAACTAAAATATCATTCACTAAAACAATATTGCCACACTGATGTCACAGAAGCACATTGTATAGACCAGGGCTTGAGTTTTGGATTGGTTGAATTTGTATGAAAGTAAATATAAATAAATGGTGGACCAATGTGTAGCAACACATTTGGAAGAACAGATCAAAAGAATTAAAGAAGAAAAATTAATCATTATCATGATTTAACCCATTTTAAGCTCATGATCTCAAGAAAGAGCTAAAAAATTTATAAACTACAATCAACTACAATCATACAACTTTATGTATAATAATAGAAGACCAAACACCGATTAACAGATCTAATTTGACAATGAGAAAGTAGAGATTCAAACTCGAACACTTACATGATATCGATTTTGGATTTGCGATTTGCAAACTCAAGATGGGAGCTAATAGCGAGAGAGATCGAGTTGGAGTTCAATTAGCCTCGAGATCGACGCGATTGATGAAGAACAACTATTTTTTCCCATAGGAGTACTCCAGAGATGTACTTTATGGGCAACAATCGTCAATCGCCTAGCAGAGGAGTACATCCAGAGATCTACGCGATTGATGAAGAACAGCGAAGAGAGTGAGATCTAAGTGAGATCGACGAGATATAAAGCGATTGATGAAAAATAGTGATTGATGAAGAATAGCGAACAGCGAAGACCTCGAAAGTTCGATCGCGAGAGAGAATAGCGATGTGTGACAGAGTGTGATCTGAGTATGAGGAGAGAAACGGAGTATGAGAGTTCTAACGGTGACCCATTTGTTTGTTTTTTTTTAAAGTGAACCACTGAAACACGGAGGGATCTGTTATGTGGAGTAAAACGTGGCATTTTTTTAAAACGTCGTTGTATGAACGCCGTTATAACCCGTTTTTCCTGTAGTGTGGTTCGGGTCTAGTTCAACCCCTCTGTTTGCCTCTACACCAACCTCCTCTCTGTTTTCTAGGGTCGCCGTGACCAGTGGTGGAGCCACAACAGGGATAAGGGGGTCACGTCCCCCCCCTCAGTTTTGATTTTTTTTGTTGCATTGTTCACACATAATATGTAATTTATTTAGTACTCTTGAAGCGTCATGTGATATTATTTATATAGTGGTCTAAATCAATAATATAGTGTCAAATTTTATGAATGGAACATAGTAACTCATTATTATTAGATAATAGGTGAATCACTTAGTGTGAGTTGCGATTTCTTATGTCCAAAGTACCACGTTATCAACACCACATAATATTCTAAGATTATCCAATAATTTCTTTTCAAAACACATTTTTATAATCAATATTATCTCTCTAATATTTTTCTATCAAATAAAAATTATAGAAATTTTATAATGATTTATGCTATAAATGATATGCTTCTATTTTCTAAAATTAAGAATTTTAATTTGTAATTTTTTGTGCTAAAATTACATACTTACATTACTATTGTGTCCGAGTTGTTCCACATTATTATAGAATTTTGACTAGTTGCTATTAATAATAAATAATTAAATTTTTATACTTAAATTTAGCTCATAAAATTATTATTATTTTATTGTTAATCAATAAAAAAAATTAAAATTATAAAGTGTCCCCTTTACCTTAATTTCTTGACTCCGCAACTGGCGGTGACCATAGAAAGAATTGGTTTGGGGAATTCACATTTCCTACATACACTACAAATATTAAGGTTTTAGAGACTAAAATTTAGGGATAAAATTATTTTTTAAAGATCAAATATTTTTGTTGCGAAAAGTGTCATTATTATATTTTTAACCACAAAAATTAGACATAGTGATGAATTATTATCCTTTTGGGACCAAATTTTTTGCTTCAAAAAATAAACCATTTTGAGTTCAAATTATTTTGTCCTTAAAAGTCTATTTATTAGTGACATTTTCAAAATTTTGTTGCTAAAAACCTTGTTTTTGACTTTTCAGGACTATCTTTTAGCGACCATCCTCATGACGATAAAAATTGACCCATAAATGTCTTTTGCAACAAAAATTTTACTTTAAAAGATCAAAACATTTGGTCTCTAGAATTCTTATATGTTGTAGTGATAGTCCCTTAAATTAGCACCAAAAACTTTAGCCAATGTGATTTGGGCATCGGAGTTAATCCTTCAGCCATTACCACCATTACTCCAATAACTGAGCTAACTTTGTTGTCGATCAGCAGGTAGACTTGAAAGTCTCAATTTGGTATGCCTCAAGTAATGGTTTCTTTGGCTTCTTAACACATATTTAGCCTTTTACTTGAAATTGATCTCTTGTGCTTTGTTCCAAGTATTTTGAATCTTACAATATATGTGTATAAGTTACAATTTGCTTTTTTGTTATTGTAAATTTGTAATGGGTGTTTGAGTTAGTTGATGCATGTACCAATTAAAAAGATTTACAGATATGAATTTCACATTTTACTTTTTCTTGCCCTTAGGCTTTGGAAGACCTTGGTGCCTCGTTTCTTTGACATTTCTAATAATTTTAAATTGCATGGAGAATTTAAGTTTACAAGCTTATGTTATTTTAGTGCTCTTCACATGCAAAACCAATGTTTCATCATGCAATGACATTTTCATGTGCTAGGGTGGTGATGTTGGCACACAAAACCGTTCAGGGATATACTAGTACAACGAGGAGCAGGCTTGTTTAGCACGAGAATTCAATGGAAGCAAAGCAGGAAGAGTTTAAGGATAACAAGATTGCGACTGAAATTCTTCCAGTAAAGACATTTTGCGGAGCAGAGGAGTACCACCGGCAATATTTGGAAAAAGGTGGAGGCTGAGGCTGTAAACAGTCTGCTTCAAAGGGCTGCAACGACCCCATCTGATGCTACGGTTGACAAGGTATGTAATTAAACCCATTCAAAACATGATTCAGCTTATCATTCAGCAATATTATTTTACGGAGTTTTAGATCTTGGAGACATTTAAGACATATAGTGGTCCTGTATTTCTTGTTTCGTGTCTTTTTTTTTTTTGGATCAGCTTGTTTCGTGTCTTTACGTTACGTGTCATGCCTGCTAATTATATAATGACATGAATTGTTCAGTTTACAAATAAGAGTATTGGAGTCCCGGCCTAATGTGTAACATTAAATGTCCTCAATTAAGGAGTTGCTACCTCCAATACGCCGTGAATCTTAATATATTTTTGTTTGAGAAAAAAACTTCGAAGAAATTTGATCATTTATGCTTTTAACTATATGTGTCTTTAAACCTTGGAAATGATTCTCCTTTGTTCCTTCCAAAAGCATGCTGTTTCCCATTTGCTTAAAGTAACTGGATATATTTGGGATACCATTAATTGTTGCAAACTAGCACCAACCTATATATATATATATATATTTGGTTGTGATAGTTTAGTTGAGATATAAATGTCAACTAGATTTATTTCTTGAAGTAGCTATAATTTGTTTCTGTCCATCTTTCTTTTGTTTTTTATTTTTTATTTTATTTTGGATAAATGTGTCAACCCTTTTCAATTGCTTAAAATGATTGCAAGTGAATATATTAAGACAGATTTCTTTCATCCTGAGCTCCAAACAGAGCTTTAACAGACATAACATGTAACTAGCATCAAATTTTGTGGTACAAATTTGATTTGTTTATGTGAGGATTATTGCAGCTTCGATCCCTATAAAATAAGAAGAACAAGGTATGATACTTTTAACAGAGAAGATTATTAGCTGAGACACAGATCAAAGGTAAAAGCTAAATGTGATTTAGAGGCTCAGAGCTCGTCCTTGGGGGAGGGTAGAGGTCCTTTAGAGTCGTTTGAGGAGGACTTGATTGGATATGAAGCCTCCATGGCTATACCACACAGTCCTTCTTTATCAGAGATGCCTCGCTGCATTCGAATGTAGCCCTTCTCTCCCCATTCAGTTCCCCATGAATTCTTCACTATCCAGTATTTGGTTCCGTCTAGGGTTGTTCCGTAGCCCACAATCGCCACCCCATGATCCAGCTCCGTGCCACAGCCTCCGGTAAATACCCCCTGCCAAATATAGTACTCAACAAAACTTACGAAATAATCTGTTGTTTTCTCAGTTTAACAATGATTTTCTAAGAACTGTTTCCAACACTGACATTTTTTGTTAGTATATATATCCATTTTATATTATATAGAGTATACACTTGAGTTAGTGTGTCCGGTGTCATGTTTTTTCTTTTCCCCAATATATCTTTATCCAGTAATTATCATATCCAATAATTGTTGAAGGATTTTTTTATCATTCAACAAACCACCCAAAACTGCTAACTAATTTTTTTCAATCATCAAACTATCTAAAAAATTTACTGTAAAATTGCAAACTCATTGCGTTTGCACCTACGACTTGTTAGTCATAAATTTACTTGCCTCTGAATAGAACTGGAAATCAGAACCCCCGGCGTCTATGGCGACAGATATAGGTTGGTTGGCAGCTGCTTTCATCAGCGCATCCTCATCGTTAGCGGGAACGTTCTCGTGTCCATCAATTGATACTACTGGGTGGTTTTCCTGCAAAACAGTCCAAATCTTATCCCCAGAACATCGGAAAGAAAAACAGCAGATTTTTAGTTCACCTTCGAAACATCACAAGTTCCATCCGCAGCATTGTAAGGGTAGTTTTCCTCGGTTGTTATTCCTCCCTTTCGCTTGATGAACTCGAAAGCTAAATCCATTAGGCCTCCATTACAACCTGCATTTTCGTTGTTGTCGCAATCAACCAGTTCCTGCTCGGACAAAGAAACTAACTTCTTTGTTTTGATTTGGTTTATTCCTTCAACACCCACCACCGTCGAAAATGCCCAACAACTACCTATAACCATGGTTGTTAGAATCTTATAATTCACGATTCAATACAAATTTCAAATAAAACAATTCGATTCATCGTGATGAATCTTGAATTGAGTGAATCATACTATTCATTTGCTATTCACTATGATTCATTACAATACAATACAATACAATGTCTACGATTTATTGAAAATTAGTTTTGTTTGCATTACGCATGAAATGGTGTCTTTTTGCCCCCAAAAGAATTCAATTAATTATATATATTTTGATAAATCAATTAATTATATTGATATACATGAGGTTGTTGTATATACATAGATACAATTTAGTTATATTAATATATAATTATGTTAAATGAAGTGAATCTAATGATTCACTATTTTAACAAAACCATTTACGATTTGGTAGAAGGTGGACTATGGAATGAACAATTAGCCTTACCACATTGTCCTTGGTCCTTGACACCAGTGACTGCACCTTTCTTCCTCCAATCGACAGATGGGGGGACCATATCTACCTTCTCGTATATGAAAGTCCCGTTCCCTTTAGGGATCCCCCAGAGCATCCTGTGGTGCTTAACATTTGAACCAGCATAAGTGCTCTTGAATTCGTGGTTTGTCATGTCTGCAAACTTGTTCAACTTCAACTTGTAAGGCTTGTCCTTCTTGTTGACGTTGCGAACATAGTAAACATTGTACTTGAACACGTTGAATCGGTTGTGCTTGTCATCAAGGCTCCTAGACACTGTGTGATGGCTCCTCCACCGCTCGTACAAATCCCACAAACTCTCTTCGGTCTCCAAATCCTTTTCATGGAAATCGAAACTCTCACCAAGTCCAAGAACCAAAGCCAAAGAGAGAACAACTAGAAGACACTTTTTCAAGTCCATTGTCACAAGGTGGAAAGTATAGGGACTATTGAGAGTGCTTTATATAGAAGAGTGAATCTAAAGATAGAGATGGAAGTAGGAGAAACATGCAAGTGATAATAAATTAAAGAAGTTGAAGGTTCCTTATGGGCATCAACAATCGATTGATAATAATGCAAAGAAATACCAAGATGGAGTCTGTGAATGATAAAGATGAAGCTATATCTATATATATATATATATATATATATGTGTGTGTGTATGTATAGGGACGGATTTAGAATTATTACTATGGATACGAAAGTAGGTTTGGGGGTGCAAACTCTTTTGATTTTAAACTATTTTAAATTTTTCTTTATAATATTTGATATCTTTCAAATTTTTTGGGGGGCGACCAGCCCCTAGATCCATCCTTGTATATATCGACATATATTTACCTGTACAAGCAAGGTTTTTTTAATAATTGTGTTTGGTCTACACATCATAACCTTTTGACAAAGAAAGGAGAAAAAATTTATTGAAAGTGTGATCAGTTATATACATTTGTGTGACTACCGGTGGCGAAGTTAAGAAATTAAATCAGAAGGGGTACTTATTAATTATAACTTCAATTTTTTTTTTTCATAACCAACAATAAGAAGATAATAATAATTTTTGACTGAATATTAAATACAAAAAATTAATTAAATTGTTACAAAAGTATTTCACATAAAATTTTATAATTAACTTCAAGTAAAATCGAAAAGAAAGTATTGCGTGTAACTAGTATACCATGGACAAAATAAAAAAGCTATATATTTAAGTCGTAACATAAATTATATAATGGTAAGATAAATCAAATTTTTACAAAATTTAAATAAAAATTTCATATAATAATGATATCACATCATTATTGATATATAACATCACCAACCAATAGTAAAGCAACATATGAAAGATGAACTCCACATGCAAATATAACTAGTACTCTAGTAATTTTTACATATATATAGTGAGATTAATTATGTTCGCATATTAATAATGATGGATATTACTTTTATATTGAGATTTTTTCACAAAATTTTCATACATAAAAATATAATTTGTTGTAGTCACTTCATTTTTAATAAAACAATGCTATTGTTTTCATAAATTTAAAAATACCCTTGACATTTTATTCTAAATATTATTTTTGTTTAAAATTTTATTTATATACATATGCAAAAAAAAAAAATCCAGGGGGACGTGACCCCCCTAATCCCCATATGACTCCACCACTAGTGACTACAGAAATCTTGTGAAGGATTGTTAAGCGTAATATTGGGTGATCTATAAAATCTTGTGAAGGATTGTTATGTGTAATATTGTGTGATCTGTGCGTGCTACAAATAAATAAACAAATCACAAAATAGACGAAAGGGGTTTGTGAGTCTTTGTTGTTGTTGTTATTGTTTTTTTTTTTTCTAAGCTTTCTTGATTTGACTCTTATGTCTATTCTGTAACATTTTTGCGGTTTATTTGTTCCTAGACTTTTCCTGATATTTTCACTTTGGAGATGGAAAGAAAGGCTAAAATAAGGGTGGAGATTGACAGAAAGGCTAAAGGGTGGCATTCTTGTCAATTCTGTGATTTTTCTATGATTTATTTTGAATCTCTAAACTTTCTAGATACGTTAACTTTAGTAAGAGAAAGAAAGGCTAAGACCTTATGTCTATTACATCATGTTTTTATTTCTGTATCTCTTGACTTTCTTAATACATGAACTTTGGAGATTGAAAGAAAGGCTTAGAGAATGGTGGCTCTTGTGTTTGTGGTTTAATTCCGTGAGAAATTACTATTCAATCAGGGAGAGGGTGGGGGCGAATTACCAAAATATGAGAATCTTTTGGGAGCACAATTCTTGTTGCGTGTGTATGTGTTTTTTTTTTTTTTTTTGATTTTTCACATCAATTGAGCTCTAGTTTTCGGGGAATGAATCACTACTGAGTCTGGAATAAGGAATTAATAAAGCACATATTCAATTTTATGTTTTGGTGGACATTCATTAATATTTATCATTTTTGTCTTTAAAAATTAATGCGCTCATTCCTCCGCCTTGCCCTAAACTTCCAAAGATGGTGGGACTTAAAAGGGGATAAACTAGAAATATTTAAGAATCGAATGGATAAGGAAGGTACTTGGGACTTAGAAGGTGATGCTAACACTATGTGGAATTCGATGGCCAATTGTATGAGGAGAATCTCAAGGGAAGTGCTTGGAGAGTCGAAAGGAACGGGACCCAGCTCTAGGGAAACTTGGTGTTGGAGGGAAGAGGTCCAAGCGGTAGTTAAGGCAAAAAAAGAGTGCTTTAAAAAGTGGCAGAAGGATAGAACTGAGGAAAACCTTAAGAGCTATAGATTGGCTAATAAGGAGGTCAAGAAAGTAGTGAATTTTTAATTTATTATTTTTAATTAAATTTAATTTATAATTTATAATTTAATTTTTTTATTTAATATATAATTTTAAATTAACAACACTAAAAAAATAATTTATAAATGTTCAAAAGACTAGTTTACCCTTTCTAATTGTTTACTAAGTAATAGCATGTTGGTAAAATGGACATTTCACCAAATAATCTCATGGGATACCAATCCCATGGTTTCTATCCCACACCCTCCCATGGGATAGAATATTCCCATATTTGTGGGACTAATAGTCCGGGGGAACTATTAGTCCGGAGCAAAATTTTGCAAACAAACAATGGACTATTAATCCGATGAGACTAATAGTCTAATCCCACACCGTTATCCCTCAAAACAAACATGCTCAAAATAGACAAAAGGGGTTTGTGAGTCTTTATTGTTGTTGTTGTTATTGTTTTTTTTTCTAAGCTTTCTTGATATGACTCTTATGTCTAGGGCTGAGCAAAGAATCCGTGAAATCCGTAATCTGATCCGATCCAATCCAATCCAATCCCATCCGATAGGTTTGGATTGATTTTTTGAATCCGTGGTTCGGTTCCGGATTGAAGAATTAAATATCCGTAATCCACGGATTGATTCCGGATTGAACCAAACGGTTCCGGTTTGGAACCGATCCGGACCGTATACAATAGTCTATATTTTTATTATACATCCTCCCCAATAGTATCTTCTCTTATTCCATATAAAACTAAACTCAAATCTAAACCCGCATCATATCTTCTTTTATTACTTTTGTTTGTTAGTTTTTAGTTTTAATTTGTAATGATCTAAATACTTATGGTGAAACCAATTCTCCTATGGTTGTTTAAATTCTAGAACAGTATGTCGCTATTATAGAAAGACATGTTGCTATTGTGGAACTAATATAGCGCAATGTTTATGTTTTTATGAAATTAAAATGTTATATATATATATTTTTTTATTATTTAATTATGTGAATCCGTGGTTCTAAACCGATCCAATCCGTATTTAAATGGATTGGTTCAGATTGATTCCATGATTTAAATGGATTGGATTAGTTCCAATTGTTCAGGAACCGTAAATAATGGATTAGTCCTGATTTTACCCCAATCCGATTCAATCCGGACCATACCCACCCCTACTTATGTCTATTCTGTAACATTTTTGCGGTTTATTTATTCCTAGACTTTTCTTGATATTTTCACTTTGGAGATGGAAAGAAAGGCTAAAGGGTGGCCTTCTTGTCAATTCTGTGATTTTTCTATGATTTATTTTGAATCTGTAGACGTTCTAGATACGTTAACTTTAGTAAGAGAAAGAAAGGCTAAGACCTTGTCTATTACATCATGTTTTAGTGTTTATTTCTGTATCTCATGACTTTCTTAATACATGAACTTTGGAGATTGAAAGAAAGGCTTAGAGAATGGTGGCTCTTGTGTTTGTGGTTTAATTCCGTGAGAAATTACTATTCAATCAGGGAGAGGGTGGGGGCGAATTACCAAACAACAATGATTTATCCCACTAAAAATATCACTACTAATAGCACTAATGTATTAAAAAAGTAAAAAAAAAAAAAAAATAGAGACCAACAGAGGCAGTAGTGAAGAGATGCGATGCTGTAACGGTAGATGGAAGTGTTAGGGGACGGGGTAGGCCTAGATTAACGTTGACTAGCGTTATAAATAGAGATATGAATCTACTTAATTTGACTAATGAAATGGCCTTTGATAGGGCCGCGTGGAGAAGAATGATTCATGTAGCCGACCCCATTTGATGGGACTTAAGGCTTCGTTTGGTTTGGTTTGGTTAGGCTAAATTGTAATTTTTAATTATTTCTATAACTTGACTTTTTCAATATGTAAACTTTGGTAAGTGAAAGAAAGATGAAGGGCAGAGTAATCTGTTGTTTATTTTGTGACTTTTTTATAATATGTTTTGTGTTCGTCGGCTATTTCTTTTTCTTTTTTTTTTTCTTTTTTTTGTGATCTATTTTAATATTTCTAAGTCTTCGTTTGACAATAACTTTTTTAGTTGATTTTTTGACTTTTTGACTTCTTTAACTTGAGATTTTTTTGTGCGTTTGGTATTCTTGATTGGGTTTTTTTGCTTTAGAATAGTGGATTTTTTTTTTATCTTTTTGTGATTTTTGACTTTTTATGCTTTTTTAACTTTTTTTTGTCCTTTTGTGATTATTTAGTCCAACATGTTTACTAAACACCACCTAAATTTTCTCCATATGTTTAATTTTGGAGAGAAACAAATTTAAACTAATTTTGAAGAGAGAAAATTAGGTTGGGTGAGGGTGGAAAAATTATTTGGTATTCTTGAGGTGTCACATAACGATATTTCTCACTAATTACAAACTCTCATATTTATTATTTTTCTTAATCATTTAATATAAAGTTATAAATTTAATATTTTTCGTCAATTATAATAGGAAAATGATTTGTCCTCCAAAATTCTTCCTCTCGAATCTCCCTAATGGTCAAAACGACGTCGTTTTGACCTTTTTTTTTTTTTTTTTTTTTTTTTCTTTTTTCTATTATAAACTTAATATTCTTCGTCAATTATAATAGGAAAATGATTTGTCCCTTGAAATTTTTCCTCCCGAATCCCCCTAATGGCCAAAACGACATCGTTTTGGCCATTTTCTTTCTTCTTTTTTTTTTTTGTTTTCCTTCTTCCATTTTCGACCTGCAACGCAGAAGAGGGAGAGAGAGAGAAAGAGAAAGAGAGAAGAAGAGGGAAGAGATCGTCACCCAGTCCGTCGCCCAGGTTTGATCGTCGCAGTAGCAGCTCCGCCG